CGGAGAGCTTTCAACCCTGGTAAGAACGGCTGCGAAAAGGTAGCTCACCACTGCCACACTTCAGGGTCTTTCCGAGGTTCGCTATGCCAGGATTGCAACAAGGCGGCTCACACGCCGACGAAGCTCACCGTCTGCTACCACAACGGTGGCCACTACGACTTCCACTTCCTGCTGAGAGGCTTCGCGAAGCTTAAGCACGCTGCTTTGACGGCTGCTTCCGCGGCGCCAGAGAAGGACAAGCCCTCGAGCTCGGTGGCGGGCCGCCGCAAGCTGAGAACATTTGGCGTCAAGGAGCTCTCTAGACGGGTTCAGAAGGTCAAGCTGCGGTCCCTGGTCAACTCGCTTCCAAAGGCCGAGATCGACGTGCTTCGAGATTGCAAGGTCTCCATCCTTCAGAGGAGCGGTGAGTCGATCTTGACGCTCGACATAGGCCGCTTGAGGTTCATCGACACCATGAACTTCTGCAAGGCCGGATTGGGGAAGTTGATCGAGTCTCACAAGCGGTCGGCCCTCAAAGCGGTCAACCTTCGAGGAGAATCTCCGGCTTCTGGGCTGGAGAGGGCATTTCCCTTGACGTCTTCGAGGCACCCCGTCCTCAAGCACGCGCAGGGTTCCGCTGGTGGTACAGACGCCGTGTGGGAGGCCTTGCTGCGCAAGCTGCCCATGCCGTGGTCCTACTTCGCGGACTGCGGTGCCTTCAACAAGCCGGCGGTGTGGCCCCTGGAGTGTTACCACAGCGAGCTGTCTGGCAGATGCTCGGAAGAGTCCCACAGACTGCTCCACTTCGAGAATGATGCGGTTCGAACGGTTCAAGGAGGTGTTCGACTGCTACCTCGCCTTGGACATCACTGCCTACGCCGATCTGATGCAGATATTCCGGGAGCACTTTTACGACACTCACCACGTCGACCCGTTCCTCTACCCTTCACTACCTTCAGCGACTTGGGACTCCGTTCTCCGGGACATCACTCAGCGAGGTGCCCGGCAGCTCCATTTGATCACCGACGTAAACGTCTACAAGGCTGTGAAGGCGTCGATGATGGGAGGGCTTTGCACGGTGTTCAGACCGCACAGCGAGGCAAACTTCGAGGGCTTGGAGAGCTTCGACGCCGATCAGCCGGTCAAGAGGTGTTTGTACATGGACATTAACTCCCAGTACCCTCATGCCATGACTAAACACCTGCCCTGTTCGGGTGGAGAACGAGTGTCTCTGCCCGAGGACAGCGCGAAAAGGTTGGCATGGCTCCATGAGACGCTCGACGGCTTGAGCCTCCATGAGGATGCGCTGGAGACGACCTTTCTGGTGTTTGTCTCCTACGACTACCCAGAAGAAGTTCACGAAGTTGTGGATTTCCCATCGCCTTGCCGGCTGTCCATTCCTCCTTCAGAGGTCGGACCGTACGCCAAGGACGCTATGAGAAGAGGCAGGCCTGTTGAGAAACTCATCCCCTATCTTGGCATGCACCGCTGTGAGGGGATCCACGGCAAGCGCTTGCTCTTCCTGCGCAACCACCTCGGTGTCCGCATCTGGGAAGTTCACGAGGCCTACGCGTTCGAAAGCCATCCCGTCCTCAGGGATTTCATGGAGAAGTCGTACGCGTACAGACGGCAACTCAAGGATGAGGGCAGGGACACGGCACAGGGCTTCGTGAAGTTGTGCGTCAACAGCGTGTACGGAAAGACCGTGCAGAATCAGGAGAAGTACCTCAACACCACGCACTACTTCGACCCCGTCTCCTTCAGCCGGGCTCAGGCCGACCCCGCGGTCGCAGACTTCAACACGGAGATCTTCGAGCCGGACGCCTTCTTGGGCACGGTGCGGAGGGTGCGAAGCGCCAAGAGGAACGTCAACCGCAGTCCGGTTCAGGTCGGCTGGGCAGTCTTGGAGCTGGCCAAGCTCCACCTTTCCATTCAGTACTGGGTCGGCATCAAGGCCACACTTCCCAAGGTCGTGCACAGACACGGACAGCATTCTGATGGAGGTCATCGGCGATGTGGACCCCGTGCCCTTGCTCGCTGAGGCTAACCTGAAGCTGCCGGTGGAGTTCGACCTCATCGGAGACCTCGATGTCGTTGAGTTCGAGCGGTTTTACCGCGGAAAGATCTCGGAGCCCGCGCTGGCAAAGCTGCGACAACTTCGTGGCAAGCTCGGCGCTCTCTCGAACGAGTGCTCCAAGCACGCGATCCTCAGCGTGGTCTGCTTGGCCGTCAAGAAGTACAGCATCCTCCTGGACTCCGACGTGCAGATCCAGAAGGCTAAGGGCGTGCCCGAGATCATTCGCAAGCAGGTCAGGCATCAGGAATACCTCCGGATCCACGAGGAGAACGCGATCAGGTACGATGCCTCAACCCAGCTGCGCTCCTCTCAACACCAAATCCACGCGGTGGAAGAGAGGAAAAAGACGTATGGGGTGCTGAATGACAAGGGCTTTCAGCTGACCAAAGAATATGTCCGCTCGTTAGGCCATTGGCGCAACGCCTTCTTGGGGCTGTGGCGGCGGATCGAGGGGAGGGCCGACCTCTTCAACCTGATCATGGAGTTTGAGCGCGGACCCTTGCCTCCCATGAGACCTGAATGGGGACAGCCCGTCAGAGAGTTGATGAAGAAGACCCGCCGTTGAATTTGCACAAGCCGGTTCTTAGGGATTGGTTGCAGACAGCATGTGTATAGAACTAAACTAACTAAACATCATGATAACCAAGAGTCTGTGATCACCCCTATCCCTTTTCGTTTGTACAGTACAGTGATTGGCCCTACCACGCCGAACAACGTCGACTGCCGTGTTGTGCGCAGAAGTCATGTATAGTCGTGTACAGTGCCGTCCTCCGCGCGTCGCGTTCACTTGAGCAGGGCTCAGGCCGCACAGAAGCCGTTACAGACCCGACACCTTTGGTGCAGACAAACGCGTGTTAAATCATTGGAGGTAGTCTGTCTGCTTGAGCCTGTTGCCTGCGCCTTTGCCTGGTTTGCACCTCCAGCCCCCTAGGCCTAACGTCCTCAACCTCAGAAACCTTTCTGATGTCCCTCCTGACTACAGGTTCTGCCCATCCTTCCAGACGATAGCGCGGCCCCAAGCTGGAATGCATCACCTCGAGGACCCTGTAGACTTTTTCCGACCATTTTAGCTCGCTGACGCGGTAGGATGCTCGGGATTCCTGTGGCTTGAGTCTGAGTTTGACTCGGTCCCCAACTTTGACGATGGCTCGAGGTTCGGTGGCATTTTTGGCGCGACTTTTCATGGACTCCCAGGCCTGTTGTGCCTTGTTTGGGTTTTGGTAGGCTTCGTTGGGCGTGACTCCCGTTGCGGTGTGCTCTCGGTTGTTGATTTGGTGGATGATATCGGGCAATAGCAAGTGCCATTGACCCCTTTGTCCTACCCCTTGTGACATCCTCCGTAGGATGGCCTCTTTTATGGTGCGAATGACCCTTTCAACAAAGAAAGCGTGACCTCTGGTGACTTGTTTTTTTATGTCCCAATCGTCTAGGAGCTGTTTGAATTCTTTCTTAAACTCACCACCATCATCAGAGTACACCTGAGCCGGTATGCCCAATTTATCGATGATTTTTCTCATAGCTGCGGCTGTAGTGGTAGCATTACGATCCTTAACAGGCTCTGCCGCAACCTTCTTAGAGAAACTATCGATAGCCACCATCAAATAAGGGTAAGGCTTGCCGCCAAAATTTGACATAAAGGCCAGATCCACTTGAACTTCGTGCATGGGCTCTTGAGGTACGAAAGAATTGTACCCTCGTTGCGGCCGATCCTGTCGATCCCTCAGAGTTTCGAAGTTTCGAAGTACCGTTTAACCTCATCTCTTGTCACGAATGGATTGCGTTCTTTTGCCGCCTTGGGAGTGTCTGCAATGCTGCCAAAACCAGTCCGAGGATTCAGATACGCCTCCTCGATGATTCGCCTCCGAGCTGCAGCTTCTCTTGCAAGAACGTCTGCCATGAAAATGCCGTGTCAGCTTGCTTTTTTTCTTTGTAGTTCAAGCTTTTGATCAGCCCTGCCGTTAGAGCAGACGGAACACATGGGCACGGTACGGATGTGCATAACTGGACCTTCGAAGGTAGCTCGAGTGCGACTGGGTATGTGAGCTTGTCCCGTTCCAGCGGCAATGCGCTTGCAGCATATGTAGCAGCAAGGGCACGTCGTCTCGCAGACAACGAGTGCATGACAAATCACAGTGGCGAGCATCTTGCCACATAATCTCGTTTGGCAGCAGTTGTGTGGTTCATTTTCTTATACAGTCTAAAAAATTGACCAATTTCCTGCCCCAGCATTGCCGTCGTAACAGCAGGCTAAACAAATCCAAACTCCTGCCTTCAGCATTGCCGCCGAAACACCAGATTAGATAAAGTAAATAAATCATACAATCAACCAAAAAAGAAACTGGGGGATACCGGGGAATTCATCCATAAAAAAAAGCTCGAAACCAGAGTGGGGGGATACCGGGAAATTCATCATGACAAAAGCTCAAAGCCAGAGTGGGGGGACACTCGGCTCGGGAATCCTTTCATTTTGTCAGCGTTTCAAATTTCTCCATTTCAGACTGTTCATTGTGCCAAATCAATGATTTGAAGCCAGTTCATTCACACAATTTTTTATTTTAGGATTTTTTTACGCATAAAATGAATCTTTTCTTTAGATTTTCCCTTATAACTCACAAGATTTTTTCATTTTACATTTTACGCTGGATTTTTTCCCTTGCGACATGACACGAGATATACCGACTCGCTTTGCTGTGTGATGGACACGATGTATGCAGAGTAGCCTTGGAGCGTAATTGACACGAGATATGCCAACTCGCTTTGCCGTGTGATGGACACACCGTATGCCAAGCTGTTTGACCCGAGATTCGAGTGAGAAAAGTCGCACCTTCAGATCAAAAATGAGGGCAAAATTAATTGGTTCATAAATCCCCTTTCTCCTACACACGTTGGCACTTGCGAAACTTCTTTGACTAAAGACAAAACCTCATGAACTGAAAAGTCCTTCAGGAACTTGCCCAGATCCGACGTAGTCTCTGTATCCATGGATGAGGGCTAGAAAGCACTGGATAGCTTGGGGGCTCTGGGAAGAAACGGCTGCGGATGTGTGCGTCGGCATGTGAGGCAGGAGAGAGAACGCGCGCTCCGAGTGACCATTTTCTTATGGAAAGGCATCTAGTAGGCAGGAGCAGGCTTGCGTCTGCAGACAAAGGCTGTGACTGGATCAGCTGGGCAAAAGGACTCCTTCTCGGCAGCCATGGGCCATTGCGGAACAAGCTGGAGAATATCTTGTGGGCATCTGCTGCTCGGAGTCGGAGGAGCTCTCCTCTTGAGAGGCAAACTTGGCCACTAGCTGGGCCTTGAATTCGTTGGTCAGGATGTCTGGAAAGTCCGACGTTGCTGTGGGCTCTTGTGGTTCCGTCGTAGCAGAGTGTTCTTCGGAGGATGAGATGGACTCTTCTCCTGAAAGTTTTAAGCCAAACCTGAAGCTTCTAACCTTTACTACACAAGCGGTCTCGATTTCTGCTTCGCTTGAGCCCAGTCAGAACCTGCGGTCACAACTGAAACAACCAGGAAAACAGCGTGCAGTGAAAATGAAGTGTTTGTTACGCCTCCTTGGAGCGAAGGTGTCTTACCTTTTTGTCCGACCAAACTTTTCCACTTCATTTTGGAGCTTTATTCACCATTTGATCTTGACTTGTTGCGGTGAATCTTGCTGTAGTGACTGTAGTGGTGTAGATCTCATCGAGGACAATGTCGTTGGTCCTGAACAAGTGGGAACGGCACAGCTTCGGTGTCTTTGACATTTGTTGGCACTTGCGAAACTTCTTTGACTTTTTCTCTGGCGCCGTGGCATCTTCTGTGCTTGCACCCTTTCAGCGCTCTTGGTGACGTAAGCGCTTCAAGCCTTCCAGCTTTTCGGCGGTTCGTATCTTCCATGCTTCAAGTTTCTTTGCACCCTTCTCATATACTCCTTGTCATTCATAACACAAAAAAAAACTACACAACCTAATTCATCTACGCTGACTACTGAGAAAGCGCACGAACTTTTGCGTGTCGTTGTGCTCGTTGTGCTTTTGCACTCTGTCTTTTCTCTGTGCTTTTGCACTGTGGTGAAACTGCTTTTCCAGCTTTCGGCTTCTGGCCTGGGCATACAGCCCCAGCCTTTAGCAAAGTGTTTTCCTGAATACATTCCTGGCTTCAGCTTGCATGGTGCTGGGCGCACCGTAGATCCTTTGCTTCTGAGCACTTGTTGCATACCACCCTTGTTTATAGTGCTGGTGCCGCACTCTTCGGTTTAGCTGCAACGCTTCGCCGGCTTGCACTGACCTTGTGTTTCAAAGGTCCCTCTCGTCCACACACTGTTTGGACGACGTTGCCTTTTCTTTCTTCTCTTTTTTGTCTTTCTTTTCTTCTTTTCTTTCTTTGACTTGCTTTCTGATCGCTTCTTCTTCTTCTTGTTCCTCTTCTCCTTGTGATCATCTTTCTTCTCCTTGTCATCCTTCTTCCTCTCCGGCTTTTGTCTCTGGAGGATCCTTCTTCTGCTCGCCCTCCGCGAAAAAGCATTTCTGAAAGGTATGGGTACCCCATCCGGGGTACGGATACTTCTCCGAATTTACCCGCTTCCGGTAGCAGAACCGACAATAAGTCGGTATCTTGAGGCGGCGCACCTCGTCGTGCGTTGGAATACCGGCCACATTCGGCCAACGCCTCACAGTACGTCTGAGTGAGCGAGTGAGTGAGCGTTGACCAGCACTGACGGTGCGGTCTGCCTCCCACGTCTCTCAACATATCAGAGGGGCTCCGGACATGTCATAGCCTCCCTCCGTCACGGAGTTCAAGAATTAGCCAATGCAGACAGGTCACTGCGTTAAACCATGGTGCACGGTGTGCAACACCAAAAAGTTGCGAAAACATAGCCCATAGGATACACCTGCACTTGCGAAGCTTGGGCTCTGATCTGCTCGTCCTGAGCCTGCATCATCTGCCGAACAGATTCACAGTGTTGGTATCCAGGCTTCCCTGGTTTGCAGGTGGTTCTTAGGGCAACGTAGGCGTGGTAGATGACTTCTGGGAAGACTTTCAGCGGTCGAGAAACAAGGAACCAGGAATGAATTGGATTTGAACAATAACGACAACACCGGCATGCAAAAACAGAGCAAGTAGTCGGCAGACGAAGCCGTGCGGGCAGTGCCGAAGGAGCGATGCTCCATGCACAGGGCACACACAAGGGCGACCAAAGGCGCGCGCCATGTGCCGAGGGAACAGTGTTCCGCACCGAGGGCGAGCACGCCACCAAGCAGGTCCAATAAAGTCGTGTCACAAGTCATACAGGCTGCCTTGGCAACAAAACGGCACAGAGGCGCATCCCTGGAAGTCCGTGGAAAAGTGGCAATCAGGCGAACTGTCATCGCTTGTGGTCAGCGTGGAATGCCTCATTTACATTGGACACCCTCATGCGTGACTCCATGTTGTCCAACATGTCCAAACAAATGGGAAAGCTGGTATAACATGGGACGCCGTACGACCGTAACACCATGCAACCAGCGTTTCATTCATCTCTGACGAACACATGCTGCACCCAGTAGTCCAGTAGAAAAGTCGTCGTTGTCATCG